TGTTGAAGGCTGTCTTCAAGAGCCGTGTGTTTACTTAGTTTTCCCTGCTTTATGGCTGAGCTGCTTCTGGGGCTTATCTCTGTAGGCAGTTGACCTGTGCTCTGGAAATTCACCTCTGGAGCTTTGGGGTCTTCTGGTGGAGCTTTCTTACAGCCCTCTTAAACCTCTTCTTGTTGGCGGCAGGCTCGCAGGACTGGGTTGTGCGGCGGGTGGTGTAGCTGTTGCGAGATGTCACGATATTACCTCCACCCCAGGGGAAGGGTAGGGGGTCCTAAGGCGAGAGTTATATAGTTGGAACTGCTTTAAAACTTGACGGGTGTATGACTAAATGTTAAAGGATGTTTGTCTCTTATTAGTCTGGTATGTTTGCTGGTACAAAACGTGTTTCTGGAGCAGATGGTGAAGTAATTGCCATCCTTTTTTCTGTAAAGTTCTCTTAGTAGTGAGAAGTGAATAATTAACCCTGTTGAAATCTGCTGTGGGTCTGTAATGAGAAAACAAAAGAAGAGTATTAGAGTATTTTTTCTCTGTGCAGTTAAAATTTATTTTTTATACCAGCTGGAAATAAAAACTTGAAATAAATAATAACAGCAACTCTGTTTTTCTCAGGAATTAGGAAGATGTCTAAAAAGAAACTGAAGAAATTGACTGGAAAGGAAGACTATTTGGATGGCCGGGATGACAAAGTAGGAACAGCCGTATTAGTATTATCGTTATTTTAATTCAAACCCCCACATTCAAGAGAAGAGCATGAATTATTTAGCAGTCTTGTGATAGAAGGATGAATCAAATTTAAAGGTGGGGTCATTAAGAACAGTAGGAGGGTTGAACTGGTCAGATAACTGCAAGTTCTAGCCAGATAACTAGCTTACGTTTTTCTCCAGAGGCCGAGTACTGCGGGTATCAGAAAATAAGAGATTTCTTTTATTTTAGTATATCTTCCTGGGTGAGGAAAGTTGAGCTTAAAACTGTTACCAAACCCACTACTGTTTTCCTGGATTGTTCTTTATCTTGGATCATACATCTTAATTTTCTGATTAATCACAAATTGTACTTTGCAGCATTTTAGCAAGCAACTCTCAAATATTTCCTTTTAACTACTGAGACATAAATCAATGTCCAAAATTCTTGTATACTCTGGTACATATTTGTATCTAGTGAGTAAGCTTTCACTGAATCGCTTGTAAAATGCAGGTGCCATAGGGGTGATCATCTTTCTGGTCATGCTTGTATGTAGCTTCCCATTCGTTTTTATTGTTTGTATCCCCTTCTGGGAAGTTATTTTCTGCCAGTAGTGTAAGATGTATCCAATAAATCAGTAGTTTAATAAATCCACACTTAAGTTTGCTAGATTTTTTTCCCTTGGATTTTGTAAGATATATATGAAATAAGAGAGCTTTTAACTGTCTTATCATAAATGTCTGAAAAAGTGTTTGGAAGTGTTTATAAAAGCATGACATTATGGCCTTATAAACTGAGTTGTTAGAAGCCTTTTGCTCATGTAGAAAATGTTGTTCAAAGCCAAATATTTGTAACTATTTTTTTTCTCCTGAATTCCTTATTATTATTCAGTTTGTCTTTTAACATTAACTTATTCTAAGGTGGGTTTTTTTTTTTTACTTCTCTAATACAAAGGGTAAAAACTTGGCTTAAAACCTTGCATTGTAGCTGTATTGCCATTGCTAATGCCTATACCAATTTGAAGAATATGGAGTTTTAACTGTTGCATGACCTCAATCTGTTTGAGACAGCATTAAATATTGCTATATGCAGACATTGACCAGCACAAGCAGCAGTGAGAACCCACGCTAATAATAGCAAAAAGATAAGGAAACCTCTGAATAGTAGCAAGTGTTTCTTCAGCGTGATCACAGTATGGATAAGAGGTATCCTCAGCTCTTACAGGTGAGAGTAAGCCATTTAAGTAGAGTCATGTTTACGCATGATTGTGGGGGGCCTTTGTGTGGTATAAGCATGACCACAGAAGACTTTATGCCTGTTGGCTTTTAGTGGTTTGGCATAAGATTCCATAAGTATGAGTGAAAGGACACTTGTCACAGTATAAATTAGAACAGCTTTACACAGAGCTGTCTAGAGGAGCCGGCACAGCTGCTTCTTGGTAACATGGCCTGGATAACACCAGGTGATATGATAGCCATGGGATTGTAAACAGAACACCTAAACCAGTCTGCTCCAAGAGGACATTTACCCCAAACTGATAATGCTAAGAGGAAAGTAACAGTAAGAAAGTTTGCTTAAGATGACTGAAGTAAGTGAAATTATCAAGGAATTATCAAGAGACTTTTGAGAAAGGGAGGAGCTAAGTTGAAAAGAAATACGAAAAACATCATGAAAACTCTAGGGGGATAGGCGTTGAAGAGAGAGAGCAGTAACTGAGCAGCAGTCAACCTGGGCTTGATACTGCTGGAGGTTGTCCCAGCGGCATCACGACCTCCACTTACCCCGGTGGAGCACCCTCGCTGCCCGACGCTGTCAGTAGCCTGCATTCCAGCTGCTGGAGTGACAGTATGGGGGGGCGTGCCATAGGGTCCCATACCTCGGGGCTGTGTACGTGACCTCGTGGGGGGCCTTTCTCACCAGCGTGTGCATTAGCAGTTTGTAGGAAGTGGTACGGCTGCACACATGACTGGAGCACGTCTTCAACAGCACGAGAGTGTGTGCCAAAGTGTATCATGTAGGTGTGTGCAATTTAAAACTTTCTGGTACGAAGTCATCTGATCTGGTATAATCTTGTAATTGTCTATTATTATAGTTTTTCTGCTGTATTGCTAGTATTGATCCTGACTGCGTAGTTCACTGATTGCCAGTTAATTGAGTTGTTAATAAATCAATAAAATGCTTTGATTCCGATTTGATTACGATATGTGAGTTGAACAGGTCTTCCTGCAGCAAGTTGCATCAATATGATTCTCAGTGGCAGCAGCCTTTAACAGCCTCCTAAGTTATGATTTCATTGGTTTTGCTGCTGTTACAACTCCAGAACCAACCATAGGGAGAAATTCTCAAAATTTCCATAATTCATTAGGACTCCACTCATTTCTGCAACCCTTTTATTTTTTAATAAAGCACTTTCTAATGTGGAAGTAAAATAGCTAAGGCCTCATAGGCCTTTGCAGGCCTCTCTAGTTAGGAAAATCTTTGCAGCAGTGAACTAATGGCCTCACTGAGTCAGCAAGACCCAATTATTTAAGGAGTGAATTATTTGTAAAAGGATGTACGCTGTGGAGCTACCTCATCTGGAGTAATCCATATGTTACCATTCTCTGTTGTAATTTCTTACACCCTGCTGTAGTTTTGGGAAAACTGAGTCCTATAACCCAAAGGTATATAAAAATTAACTGCCTTGGGTAGAGTTTATATCAGCAGAGTCTGTCATTTTGCTGCTCTCTGTTCTCTCCCGTAGCTGCAATAATAAACTGCTTTCTGTTCTGAACCGATCAGTCGCCTTCCAGTTATTCCGCAACATGAATGCGACGCAGCTTGCAATATAGATATGCCAAGCAGTGATATAACTGCTTTTGAAACAAGGTCTGTTCAAGTTTTTTGTTTGAGGGCTATCTTGACTCTCAACCGGGCCTACGTAACTGCAGTTTCACACTGTTCCACCTAATCAGTAAATCTGATGAGAATTAAGAACATCTCTTCTGCACAAAAAGCTCCCATAGAAATATCATCTCTTTGGCCTTACCTAGGGGGTAGTTGGAAGCAGTCTTCAAGTAACTTTCTTTTCCCTAAGCATTTTTATAAATAGACAAAAATGTGTGGTTTACATACTGATATACTTGTAAAGCTTATGAAACACATGAATTCTAAATGTGTTTAATTAGTTGAGCTTTCTCTGTTTATAACCCAGGACTGTGTGCCGCATTCAATTTTTCCCCTTGTGTTGTTCTTAAATACAACAAAATCTAAATGCTAAATCACAGCAAGGTATGTGGCTGCCTTTTTCAAGGTTAACTTATTCAAAATTATAGTGAATCTCTCTATGAAATAATAGCTTGTTCCATCTTATGAAGGTTTTTTAACCTTCTAAGGTTAACCTTCCCTCTGTAAGCCCTTGGATTTTTTCCTTCTTTCAGAACTCTGAAGACACGAGATCTTATAACCATACTATGAAAGGAGAGACAGAATTTCGGAGGTAAATTCTTACTCTGTCATTAAATGTAACTACTTAAAAATAAAACAATCACAGACTTTTTTTAATACTGAATTTAAGAATTTTGTTCGACTTGTTCACCAAATAAAATACGGTATTTTAACTGATGAAGTGTTGACATTGTATTGACTGGATTCTGTCTAAGCTGGGCAGTTTGAGATAGCGAGAAGAAAGGGTGCAGAATTTTTTTTAACTAATGTATGCTACTACACTTCAAATAAGGTAGGAATTACATCCTTCCAACACTGCTGTCATAAAAAAATCAATTTTTTTTGTCTTGAGCACTACCTTGTTGGTCTGTATTGCATATCGCACATGTTTTGTTAGCAAAAAAAGGCTGGAGAGTAGTTCTGTAGGGAACTTAGTACTTTTAATAGATTCCTGTAGTCCTGAAACCATTGATTTCTCCTGATGCTTGAAGTAATTGATTCCAAGGCAATGAAAGCAGTCTTTCATCTTGAGTGTAGCAAACGTAAACAGTGTTGAAAACTACTTCATATAAAGTGAGAATGTTCTCATGAATCCTGAGAGGGAAAAGATTTGGATTGTTTCTTAATCATGGCAAAATCTTGTTGGAGTTTCTCTGTTTCTGGAGTTGTTAGTTGTAGGATATTTAGCTGCATGTGTACATGCTGTTAAGCACTGTTTGTTAGTATGATATAACCATAAAACAGTAACTACGTTCATACCAAAACTCAGTCTAGTCCAGTACACCGTCCCTGACAGTGGCCAGCAGGCTTGCATTGGAAGGAGCATGTGAAACAAGACCAGTACAAAATTATTTTTCCTGTTGTACACCCTTCCAGCTTCTAAGAACCAGTTAGGGGTCTCCTAAGTCAGAAGTTGGATGCCAGTCAGTGCATTTAAGTTACCTGTCCTACGTGAGTTTCTCAAATGGCCTTTACCTCCCCAAGGTTTTTGACAATACTATTACAGAGTAGGGTAGAAAGTTTCGCTGGATATTTTAAACCTGGTGTATGATAAATGAAAGCTGTGCGGTGTTTGGCACTGTGCGACCAAGCTGAACTGCTGCACACTCGAATTTTAGGGTGACACACCTGATATATCATTAAACTGCTGTTAAAACTTATCTGTGTGGTAAGATGAAGCTAGACTTTGTAGGGCATCTCTCAAACCAATAGATAGTGAATGCAGAAAAAGCTTTTTCTCAGTTTTGTAAGCTAAAATAGCTGTACAGCTAGGAAAAATGTAAATACTAAAAATGCTGTATCAAACTATTTCAAAGGACAAATGTTGCTGCAAGTTCATATTTAAGAACATACCAACTGGTACTCATAAATACTTAGCTGTAACTGCCTAAATGAAGTGCAGGCTTTTTTTTTTTGTTCTTTTATATTAACTGAGCTAGATTACATAACTTTTTTGTAACTTTTCTATAGATTCAAAATAGAGAAAGATGGGCAAGAGAAGAAGCAAGACCAAAGTTCTAATATTTCTCATGGCACTGATGGAAGATCCCAAGGAGAATCTCCAAATAGAAGCAAAACCACAGACAATTCTTTAATCCAAACTGAAAAGCAAAAGAGAATAGTTATCCAATTTAAAGCCAAAGAAGTTAAACATGGAAAAAGTACACGCACTCCTGATGTAGTGACTGCTAGCAGGGAAAGTTTTAACAAAAGTAATTTTGGTGGAACAGAAGGAAAAAGACTCTGGCATAGCTTTGCAGTTCAGAGGGACAAGGCACTGAAGAAGAAGACAGAGAAAGCTGAACTCTGCAAACTGAAGTTAAAAGCAGAACAAACTATGTTGGAAAAATTTAAGTCATCTGCGTGCGATTATGTACCACATAAAAAGGCAGAGGGATCAAAAACACGGAGTGAAGATATCAGAATTCCAAAAAAGCCATCTGACACCTCTGCAGGGACTCTGCATGATGATAGGGCTTTCACTAAGAAGCCAAATACATTGTCTAGGACTTGGGAAGAAGAGTATGAAGAAGAATATAAGGAGTTTTCTAAGAAAAAACGGCATGTGAATAAACATACACCATCACGCTATTCAGTTGAAACACCACAACGATGGGACTCTTGTAAACGGAAAAAACAGGATGCTGATTCTGATAAAGCTACTGGTAATTCAGGGACGGAAGAAAGGGACTTTGAAGCCACAGCATTATGTTTTAAGCAGGTAATGAGAACCCAATTCTTTGTATTATGCAGGTAGATGTTTCAGGCTAGTTTCTGAATGATAGGCAGTTTTTATATAAGCAGACTGTCTTCTTACAGATTTCAAAACAGGATTTCGTAGCTAACTGGTTGGATTTTTCTGATCCAAATGTAAACCATGTTTCTCTGCTCTGCTAAGTGGTTAAACAAAGTAGAAGAATAAAGGTCTTGCCATTAGGACTGTGTCTGCACATATGTTTTCATAGCTTTACTTTGCTGCTGGGGGTGTGGAATACTTCAATTTAGGTATAAGTCAATAGAATTTTTTTTGAGCTGACATGGTTGTATCATTTTTTGAATGAATAAACTGAACCGATGAAAACTTGCCTGCCAAACAGGTGCTCATTGCTGGCAAAGTGGTGCCAGGAGAACTTGTTGTAGATCTAGGACTAAATTTGTACGTTTCCTGCAGAACTTCACGTTTGGCTGTGATCGGTTTGTTTCTAAGTCCTAGCTTGTGTTTGGCTCTGCACCTCAACTTTATCTTGAGTGTAGTTACTTTGTTGTTGTTGTTCTCGTTAATGTGCCTAGCAACATGATTTCAGTTCACATTATGGTAGCGCGATCATTTTGTGTATACGCAAAGATAGTAATTACATAGAATTACGGAATCATTGAGGTTGGAAGGCACCTCTGGAGATCGTCTAGTCCAGCCCCCTTGCTCAAGCAGGGTTAGAGCAGGTTGCCCAGGACTGTGTCCAGTCAGGTTTTGAATATCTCTAAGGATATTCACAACCTCTCTGGGCAGCCTGTTCAAGCACCTTCACTGTAAAAAAGTGGGGGGTTTTATGTTCAGATGGAATTTGCTGTGTTTCAGTTTGTGCCCATTGCTTCTTGTCCTGGCATTGGGCATGGCTAAGAGTCTGGTTCCATCTTCTTTACACCCTCCCATCAGGTATTTATAGACATTGATAAGATTTCCCCCTTCTCTTCTCCAGGCCAAACAATCCAGCTCTTTCAGCCTCTTGTATGACATGCCCCAGTCCTTTAATCATCTTGGTGACCCTTTGCTCAGTTCACTCCATTAAATTCATGTCCGTCTTGTACTGGGAAGCCCAGAGTAAGAATAACATAGTCACAAACTCACAAGAGATTGGAAAAACAGACTTACTGTGTAGACCACTGTATTTATTTTAAAAGAAAGCCATCCTTCTAAGCCCTTTTGAAATTATACTGTAGATGCTTCATCATGGATGTCGAAAATATGTTTTATGTTACCTATTCAATTCACTTGGGAATATTCAGCGTTCTCTAAAAAGCACTCTAAAAGACTGATACATGTTCTACTTCCGTGCCTACTTGTTTCTAGAATTTTGAGGTCCCGTGCACATCTGACTCCTACCAAGAAGGCGAGGACATAAAGTCTGTCCAAAAGGTTAGTGATGTACTTGTTTAACACTGAAGAGCTGTATTCCAAAACTCTTGATATGGGGATTACTTGTTGCTCAGTCTTCCTTGACATTTGTGGTGTTGGTATGGTTTTTTAATTCTTCCTACAGACCTTTGAAGTCTTTCCACCCATTCAAGACAGTCAGAACCCAGAAACAGACCAAGAGGTTAGTAATGCTTTAATTTAACACTTCTAAGTTGTATTAAAAACTCATGGCACCGAGGTTGTGTAGCTGGACAATTCCATGACCTTTCCTAGTATTTTGCATTGTTGGCTTATGATCTACACTTCAAAAAATGTGGAGCATTTTTTTCAAATACTAAACAAACTTGCTAAAGTACTACTAGTAAGGAACTTTCTGAGATAGAAAGATTGCCTTTCTGTTATTCTCTGCAACGTAGGGGGCCTTCATAGTTGCTTACATGCTGTAGCTATCTCATTTTCCATCCTCTAACTTTCAAGTTGGAAAAGAGACATATTTTTTTAAGAAACACTTGTCAGGAAACTTGCAGTCTATGTAGCAAAAAATGGAACAAAGTGTTTCGGTACCAGATGGAAAGGTCATAAACAAATCTTCCTTCTAGGCCGTTTTTTGGATGTCTTTTGTGGACTTCTTATAGTGGAGGATGTGCAGAAGGTTCTCATGGCTTTACATTTGCCGTACCAACATAAAATTTTTCATGCTTCATTTTTAGTCCGTTTTAACGCAACAGAGTTAATGCGAAAGTATCTTTTTCGGGAATGATTCATAAGTGATTACTTACAATTGATTTCATATGTGCAAATTTTTTTCATTGTAGATGCAGATAGTTGAAGATTTGCATGTTGCTCGTGTTCAGAAGAGGATGGCGCTCTCTGTAGTACAGACTTGTGGAGAACTTACAAGTATGGAAATAGATCTTCCAGAACAGGATTTAAATATTTCTGCTGGTACGTCATGATTTGATGTTCTTTGGTATCTACTTGCAGCTGGTTACTACAGTCAGTTAATGGTCTGAGTAGAGAGTACTCAACTGATTTTTTCACAACTGCCTTTTTTTTTTTAACTTTCTCTTTTTTCCCCCAGAGGCTTTTACTTCTGGACTGAACATACTAGTGGTGATTGACACAAATATAATGATTAGTCACCTTGAGTTTGTCAGATCCCTGAAATCTGAGGATATACCAGGTATGTGAATACATGGTGGTGATCAATAAGACATTTTAAGAAAAAACAGATGTTGTAAGAACTTCAGGCTACGTGCAGAAAAACAAACCTGGGCTCCTTAAAAAGACAGCAGGTTTCATATAGAGGCAGAAGGCTCACAGTTAAAGGCTGGTTCTGTGAACCCAAATAGGCTGCCTCTTAAGGAAAGTTCAGCTATGAAAGTAGAACCTACTATGTTTAGACCTATGTACCTACAGAGAATCATGGTCGACGTTCCCAGGAATGTACCTGAATTCTTAGAAGTAAATAAATCTTACTTATTGTAAGAACATACTTTTAAACATTTAATCCATTACTAGTGGTAACGATGTTTTCTACTCTCTTTTTAGCATTTTTTTTTCTAGAAATATAAAAACATTTAAAATCTGACAAGCAGTCGGTCAGTGCTTTATTTCTGTCTTGGTAAAGGTCACAGAATTCATGACATGTGCGAGCAATTTCTCAGGAATTCACACTGCAGACCCTCGCTTTAATGTTTGGCTTTAATATGTTGTGAAGCTTTTAGCAATTTAATGTTAGCAGGATTAGGATCGTGCGTGTCAGTTGTTGGTAGACATATTTGGAATCTATCAGAATACTTAGGATGCCTTGGTGTTTTCAGCTAATGAATACACTTATTCCGGCCACCTGGGAAATAACTTTAATAAGGGCCTGAGTAATTTTCAAGAGTGTGTCAGGCTGTATTTCTCTTTCCCATATCGGGAATGGTGTTGCACTGTGTACACTGGGATGCCTCTTTTAGAATATTGCAGCTCCCAATTTCTGGTCCTGCACCAGACCCATTATGTTCAGAAGGTTGCTGATTTCTGACCTATTTATTACAAAGCAGGTGGATATTAATGTATTTTTTCAAAATTGTATTCTTATAATGTGAATGAGAAAGAAAACAGTTGAAGTATTTGTTGTGGGTGGACCAACAGAACAGTCATTAAATTTCTGATTTACCATGTATTTCATACATAATAGTTTTAAAGTTCAGATCGTGCTTACATACAAATAGAACCATGGTCCAGTATCCATACTTCCTGTTTCTGGCTTAGGAATGCTGGTTGGCAATTAGCACAAACCATTGCACCTTTTATTTGATGATTGTTTTGGCACAGTGACTGTTGTGGTCATTCAGGTATTTTCAGCCTATTATTTCAGCTGCTGTCACCTTGCTTTAACATCTTACAGTGAGATGATAATTGCTGCAAATATATTTTATAATATTGCTACACACTGTTGTCAAAGTATTCTGTTGATTAAAATTGTATCTTCCTTTTGTTTGCCTAATACTGTCATTTTTACATGTAACTAATGTAGTGCCAGTTTGAGGTTAGATTAGAAAGAGGGAACTTGGCTTTTTTCAGTTGTTCGGTTTTTAATGCTAGATATTCTTGAGCATGGAATATGAGAACTACTGGCAAAAAGATAAATGTGAACTCGCATAAATACGATGTTTGAATTAGAAGTTATCTGTAGTAGTTTGCGTGGTTCTTCAAAACGTCTTTGTTTTTCCATTGTGGGGTGTTTTTTTTTCCTTCTAGGCGTTGGCAGACTTGCATTAATAATTCCCTGGGTCGTTCTACAGGAGTTGGACAACTTGAAGAAGGGGAAGATGTTGCAGCATGTTCGGGACAAAGCTATCCCTGCAGTCCAGTTCATCTACATGTGTCTCAAAAACCAAGATTCAAGATTGTGGGGGCAATCCATGCAGCTTGCTTCTCAAAAAATATGTAATATATGTGCAATCGATCTGTTTTGGGTACTTAATCCTTGCAGTTCACTTAGTGTGAACCCTAGCACTAAATTTTGAGTTTAATACCCTAGCACTAAATTTTGAGTTTAATACAGTCTTCACTCTGCGGTTTGTTAATTAAACAAATTAAGTTTGTTAAGCTAATAGCTTACAGCAGCCTTCAGAGCATATCCAAGGCTGTAGTATGCAAATACCTTATTCAGATTAGTGCTTTGTTCACTATTGTTTTATCAGTTTTTTCTTACTTTTAGCTACATCTGTTGGTAAGTGGGGGATTACTTAATGAAAATTCATCTCGTTACTTTTACCTATGGGCTAAGTAGATGTTGTGTGCTTTTGCTTTTGACTCGGTCATCACAAAATCCAACATACTCAAATTTACGTGTGGCTCACAACGTTTTCTGTCAAAACCAGAGCAGTTTTGAGTGGAGTAGTACCTAAGAATTCAAAGTTCAGATTTGTGTTTAGATTACACTTCGCTGTCCTTGTTTGGGGAGTATTAAATTTAAAAACAGTACCATGACTACACTGAAGTATTTCTTACGTTGAGTTACTTCTGAACATGTCAGCACTGTCTTAACTAAATTTGCAGATGGCCTGAGTGACGAGAACAATGACGATCGCGTTTTGCAATGTTGTCTGCAGTATCAGAACCTCTTCCCTCAAGCTGTTGTCATACTCTGCACGTGAGTTCCTGTGTGGTTTTAGGTCTCTTACGAGATGTAAGTTAGTCTTATGCCAAATGCACTAATTTCAAATCACATCTTAAAATGAAGAGCTGTTTCTGAAGTAAGCTTTTTGAAGAGCAATCACCCTCTTAAAAGCTAGAGTACAAGGATATAATAAAACACAAAGATTGTAGACTTAATCACCTTCATGTTCTTGAGGCCTGAAGTAGAATTAAGTTTACTCAATATTCAATTTTAAAGCTTTCTAAAGCGTAGCTTTCCAAGATTTTATTCTGATTTCTCAGAAAAAATATTACTGGAGTTACAAAATAGAAAAAATATTTGTATTAATGATTGAGATCCAGTTAGATACTTTGTTTTTGCTCACCTGGTTGGGATCAGTGATAAACATCTGGGCATCTGGGACAATGATTTGGCCAGTAGATCAGTAAAAAAGAGTGTCAAAAAAGAGAATTTATTGTAGCAATGGAATCAGATATTACTGTCTTAGAATTATTGCCTTGTTTGCATTCTGAGATCGTAGCAATTAGGCATTATTGCTGTAGTATTTATAGGTGTTTTTTTCTTAAAGCAAACCTAGAGCCCAAAACATTTTTCAGTATGTTTCTAATTTTTTAAGAATAGCTGCTTTAGTTAATTTTTCTGGTTTAATTTTTTGAACTGCTTCTAATTGCTTGGGAAAGAAACTTTGTATATAATGAAGTTCACAAAATAAGCTTACCAAAGACAATTTTTTCAGTGTGTTGCTTTTACTACTTACTATGTAGTAATGTCAGTTTTATGTCAACAATTAATTCTCTTCTCCTAGGGATGATAAAAATTTATGTAATAAAGCCATTGTGAGTGAGGTCAAGGCATTCTGCAAAGCTGATTTGGTTACTGCTCTACAGAATCTGAATGTGAACAGGCACCAGAACTGTGTTGAGCTGCAACAGTCAAAAGGTGGTAAGTTTGTTTAATGTGCACGTACATACATATGCTGGTTTTTGAGACACATGATAATCTGTGTAGGAGAGGGAGAATAGTTTCTACTGTAACTTCAGTTTTCATATACTTTGAATCCTTAGGAGTGCTTTTTGTTTGGGGTAGATTTTTTATTTTCAAAGGTAAAGGGTTTTCTGAAAGTTTGAGACCTTTATTAAAACATGTGTCTCTTGGAGTTCTAGGAAATTCAAATATTTCTGTTTTATAGAAAAAACACAGCATGAATTTTCTGTGTCTCTAGTTATTTAAAAGGTGTCCTGAACTTTTTAGGACTGAAAAGAGGTTTTTCCAGTTGAGCCAGTTTGGGTCCTATTCTTAGTGGTTGTAAAATTCAGTATGCTAAGATCACTCCTTACATTGTATGCCAATATCTTTACCTTCATCCCAAACAGTAGAACTTGATTCTTGAGTTGTTCATTTTTCCAAAGATACAAATATAGCTTACGGTATTAAGGAGTGATCTTCTTATACTTGCTGATAACCCCACTGGCTGTATATAATGTAAGTTATTTAAGGAAAAAAGAAATGTGGAGTAAGATCACAAATTAATAATGCTCTGGGGAAATTAATGTTCTTGGTTAGTAGCTCATAATTAAAAATACCCACAGTACAAGTGGGTATAACTAGAAATACTTGAAACCTCATTAGATGTAGCCCATCTGCTTTATAACATGAAGTGCAGTCTGTCTTTGTTTATGGGAACAAGTTGTTTGTGTACTATCAACGTAAATTAGATATAGAAACAGTTGCAATAAGTACCTTTTATTATCATTGGTTTGACAGATACAGAATTCGAGAAGACAGAAAGAGGTGATGCTAGTCTTACTGCGCGATTCCCAAATACACTTCCAGACCTTGAAAAGAACTTAGGAGAAGCTTTATCTTGTATTTTGGAGACTGAAATGAAAATTGCATTTGGAAACCTATGGATGGAGGTGGTTTCTCATGTCATCTTTCTTGATATTTCAAGTGTTAAGAGGTTTAAATGTCCTTGGTATTTTAATGATGTTAGTACCTGTGCTAAGCCAGACAGACAAGCCATCTAGTTCACTAACGTAACAGTTCACTGACAGTGAACAGTTCAGTGTTCAGTTTTACTATTTCATTTTATAACGAGATTATTCTATTTAACCAGTAATGACTGTGCAGTATTTTAATAGTCTTTTAATATACGGTAACAGAGATGTTAGCTGTTCAGTGTGAATTTTCGGAACTCTTTTTATTAGTTGCATTAAATTTCTATTTTGGCTTTTCTAGTATGGTTAAATCACTGCATTGTAAATATGTCCTTCAAGAAATCATTCCATCACATTTTATATAATATCGAGGCACTGTTGTTGCAGGCACTTCTTCCCCATCAGAACAGATGTTTTTAGATACCATGTGAATAAAATTGTTGACAGCTAAATTGGTTACCACACAGATACAGAATTACAAGGGTGTTAACGAGACCCTCCAAACACTCACTCTTTCAAAAGTATTGTTAACAGAAAATAAATATGCAGATAAAATTGTTCACAGCTAAATCGGTTACCACACAGACACAGAATTACAAGGGTGTTAACAAGACCCTCCAAACACTCACTCTTTCGAAAGTATTGTTAACAGAAAATAAATATGCATGTACAAGGCACTTTAGATTATCCATGCTTTGGTTTAGATACCATTTTATAGCTGGTAGGGGCTAGTTAGAAGTTTAAATATATTGCAGATAAGCCTCTGTGGCTTTTAAAAAAAAAAAAAAGTTTGCATGGCATGACTGTTGTTCCACAAGATAGAGTTTTGATCAGTTGTTAAGCTTTTAGGCACTTCTGACTAAGTTGATTTCTGTTAATATCTTTTCAAACTCTGGTTTCACTGGGTAGTAATAAATTTCAATTTTATTGCAATATGCATATATTACTTCATGTATATATAGTCACAGCTAGGAAAGGTGTGTTTATTTTTACTTTTTTAACAATACTAGAAAATCAAAGGCATATTTACTGTTGTTCTGGCTTTTGTACACAAGTAACACAGTAAATCACTTTTAAGAGATAACTCAAGAGTACTTGGAGCGTTTGAGGAAAGGGGAACCAAAAATCATGAAAATGATTGTACATTGAATGCTTCTACATGAGCATCACTGTTTAACCTATGATGCTGCTGAATCAAATCTTTTTCAATAAACTTGTTAAATCTGAATATGGCCTTATTTCTGAGGAATAATTGAAATTCTACTTCAGCAAGCACAAATCATAACATTATTGAAGAATACAGCAGTTGTGAAATGTATAGGAATATGTCTATATGAAAATCAGCCTTTGAATTTATAACATACTATCTTTCAGATACTGTATCTGAAGCCACCATGGACGTTGGCAAACTTGCTGAAGTGTTATAAAAAACACTGGATGGCTGTTTTTGGTTATGTTGTGCCAAGGAGTTTGCTTTCAACCATTGAATGTCTCTATAAACACCTTTGTACAGGTAAGAATCTCTGAGAACATTAATTGTAAATTTGTAAAAAACCTCACTGTTCTGGTTTTAGTCATTACAGAAGTAGATACTTTGAAAAGACACGTATTCTGTATGTTTAAATAATAATGTTCCATCCTCTCCTGCTTTTGTTTTTAAATTGAAGATTATCCAAACAGAGCCATACCTTGGACAGTCTTACCTACTTTTGTATTGATCCACAATTTATTCCCCAGATGGGTGACAAAATCCCAACACTGTTTTTGTAGCCTTAAAGCCAGAATCGAACTGAAATTGATGAGCTATGAATAACATATTAAAAAAAAAAAAAAGAAAAAAAAGAAAGAAAAAAAGAAGGCTTGTGCCAAGATCAAGTCTGTCCAGGCTCTGGTCCCAGATGGTCTAAATATCACCTGCAAAAATCTTGAAAACGATTTCTGAAATTTTTTTTTTTTTTGTAATTCAGTATTCTGCTGCCTTTTTTCTACTTTTTATATACAGAGAGTAAAAGCAAATGCATGGACACTATTGGGCATGTAAGAATTTATTTCACACATCTCTATGTACCTGCAAAAATCTGGGGAAAAACATTTTAATGAATATATATACAAATGGTCACCAAAATCTCTGAACTATTTTTAAAAAGCAAATAATCTTTCTCCCTCCTTTGCCACCATGTTATATGTGGCCAAATGATCTGCATTTGCCAAATAAATTATGGAGGAGTAAAGACTACTTAATGTGTTAGATGAGGGCAGGGAGGTTTGTTTTCAAAAAAAGCCAACAACAACAACAAAAAAAACCCTTTCATTTATTTAAAGATGTCTTTGAGAATTTGATTTTAACAGATATACCTCTTTTGGGATACTGCTGTTCTGCAGAATTATTTTAGATATGCCAGTTGATCCTCTTGCCAGATCCTGGGATAAATATGGAAGACTTGATTAAGAAGCGAGAAATCTTAACCTCACACACATTTTTCTTGAGACTGTTTTATCTAATGCTTCTAAACCATTTTCAAGGCTTTTTACGTGCTTCAGTTAATCCAGATATTTGAGTATTAAATTTGCCTCCTAAGATTAATAACTCCTAACATACAATACTTTTTTTTTTTTTTCTATTTCCCGTATTACTGTCTAAATATCAGGTAAAACAGTTGACTGTTCAACAGCGGGTATCTTGCTCCAGGAATCCAAAAAATTACTCCATGCTTTCAGTTCAAGGTCAGACTATAATGGTATACTTCCCCGGGCTTATGCTGAAGTGAATAAGCTATACCAAACGCTTACAGAGGTAAGGGGAGCTTTAGTATTCATTCACCTAATATCTTCTTGAAGTTGCTCCACGTTCATACTACAAATCTGGCTTAGATTTCTAAATTATTCCCATAATTTCAACAAATCATTGCAGGAAATGTTGTTGCTAGAGTGTTTTCAAAATGAATAGACCCCAAATTTAACTTTTATTTTCATGTAGCAAGTATCTATCTTTATGTGTATGCTTGGTAGACTTTTTTTTTCCCCCTAATATAAATGTGTTCGTATCAGCAAGATGACTGAAAAACATTGTTTAGCTGCTTTCAGGAAAAATATCTTTGTTTTCTATTGTATTTGTGGCTGATGGAAAAGGGCCTTAAAGATTAAGATTAAAATTAAAATCATTGTTTCTACTTCTGACATTGATCCAATACTACTATTCCTAGGCTTATTATTTCAGCTTTCATTGTCTTGGTAGCTCTAGTGCTGCACATGAAGAAAGAACTTGCTTGTATCATGTGCTTTGTGATAGTTAATGGGGGGTGTCCTGATACCTTTTGTGTTCTGAGAAGTATGTCTTTACTTCCAGCTCATCTCTGAGTTGCTGTGGAAGGAATTTCAGTGTCTTGGTTTGTGGTTACTATTAGTTCCATATGTAATGGCATAAAAAATGGAATAATGAGCATGGATGACTTGAAATATTTCTATATATGGGAAAGAATACAGGTCAGAATATCTGTAAAAAGTTCTTTTCAGTTTTGGAGAAAGCTGAAGGGGAAGGGAAGAAGAAGGTGGTCAAGGAGAGGAAGGATGATCTGGGGAGTCTTGATTGTCTCCTGAGCTGAGATTGTCTCCTGATGATTGCAGTCATCCACTTAGTCTGCAATTCTGTGAACGGTGCTGCCATAAGAAGCCCGCTTTCTGTCTGAAAACTTGTTTCCTGCGGTCCTTGTCCTGACAGGTGTTTGACTTCACAAAGAACTGCCCTTATACAGACTAGGTTGTGCCAGATCAGTTTCAGTTTAACCTGGACAAATTTTCTGAACCCGTTTATCAAATGAGTAGATGAATACTTTGTGCTGTTGCAGAGGAAAATGTGCCATCAGTCATGGGATAGGGAGTAAGACTAAGAAGCAGTTCTCATTTATACCAGCTTACCATGCCTGGGAAGCTTTGGCACAGCGTTTCCCTTTGCTTCCCTTTGTTTCCCTTTCCTATCTGTAGAAATACCAATATATACATATAGAAGAAAGACTTGGTGAAAGACTGTGAGATGCTTCAGATGCAGAGACTATAATAAAGATGGTTATGACTAGAAGAGACCTGCCTTGCTTTTTTGAGCGTTGCCTTAAAAAAAAAAGTAGAAGTGTTCAGGTTTTCTTAAGTTAGGAACCAAACACACTCATCATTTGTTTGCTAAACTGTTTTATAAGGTGAGGTCAGACAGTGAGCAGGATTTATCAGAAGACATCATGGTTCTTTCAGAAAATGCTGTATGTGAAAAAATGGAAGCAATGACACCAAATCTTCAAAACTGTGAAGAAAAAAAGTTACATCCAAGCTTTCATGTAGCTCAAGAAAACAGGCACCAGGAAATCTGGTCAGTCCTTGAAGGTGTATGGAATACAATAAACTTGTACAGGTACGGTATGCTAAAGAAAATCAGAACTTCTACATAACCTTACATAATTTTCACACGAACACACTTTAGAAATTGCTTTTTTTTTTTCCTATTTTAGAGAAGAAGTTATTAGTAATTAATCAGAATGGACAAAAAAAAAATCACACAACTTGTCACACAAAGAAGTCAGGAGCATACAAATTGTGACATGGATGCAGTCAGTGATCTGTCTAGTCTGCTGCTCTTTTTCTGGACAGTGGCTGAAATAAGTTGCCTTAGAGAATGGTATTGAAAACCCTGTAAGAGCCACAAATGTGAGACATCTGTGGAAATCTCATCTTTGTCCATAAAAAAGAGGCATTCAAGCTCTAAGTTTTCTCATGGTTATTTTCTTTCCAAATCCTGTGGAGGTATACTAGCCTATGTAAAATTGTTGACTTTTTTAAAAAAACTTCAATCAATTTGAAATATAGTAAGTTTTCTTGTTAAGCAAAATCCTTTCCTCTGTAAAATCCAAATGCAGAATCTAGTGACGAATTTCCATTCTGATCTAAACTCAAAATTGCATGAAATGAAACCCCCCTCCATCTAGATGTTTTACCATTGTTAGTGTTTTGGTTATTTTTGAAAAATCTGCCTGAAAATTACTGAGATGCCATGCTTCTGGATGCTATCACAAAATCTGAATAGATACTGTGTTTTCTTTTTGTAATCTTAATCTGAAATCTTTTCAAAGGAGGGACACTGACTTACGTCAAGCACAAAGGAACTCAATTTTTGGTGGTCTGTTAAGGATTCGCCTAATAAATGGTGATAATAACTCTACCAATGCCATTTCCACACTAGCATTTGAATGTACTATGGAGCTGGTGAGTCCTCTGGGCTTACACCAGTGCAAATTAATCTGAATTGAAGCTGGTTAAGAGATGGCTTGGTGTGGTGTTCAGGTCAGCTGAGGATCTGTGCCAGAGAACAGTCTCTTACTTAACAGTTCTCTTACTGGGATAGTGATCATGAATTTGAAGGTTTCATATAGGCGTCAAGGAAAAACTCTTTCAAGTGTACCACTTTATAATGAAAGTGCAACTGAACTGTTGGCCTTTGCTACCTGTTAAGGACCATACTGTGAAAAGAGGATAAAATTTTAGAATCAAAGGTCACTTCACACTCTTCTTGTTCATGGCAAGAAAATACTACTTATCTCGCACCTGTGGGGATAATTCGTCATGAGTGCACTGCAGCTCATCGTCCCAATGCAACCATTGCAGGGAAGGTGTCAAGGCCATTCCAGTAAATCTTGAGAATGAAGCTGCTTGAAAAATTGATGGAAAGTACTTTGTTTCTTTAACCTAACAATTCTCTTCTAAGAGAGGCTTACTTTAGGTGTACTTGGGTCGTGCATGAAGAGACTGTTTCATTCTCAAGTGAAGTTTAATGATAAATCTATTTAAGTCAAAGGTAAAACATTGTTATACAGTTTAAACAGGGAACTACAATTGTAGGGCATAGTCTTTCTACTATTTATTCTAAGACTATTTTAGATAACATGGTTTTAGTATAGATTTACAGTTGACCTTGGTTGTTTTTTTTTAATAGTCAAAATACAATGCATACAATAGATACTGGGTTTCTCTGAATTTTGAGGATTTTTATTAACTGCTTTTCAATGTCTCTTCTTTCTTTCTTTTTAATATTAGTATTGAAATTTTCCAAAAGTTGGACCCCAACACATTAACTTTGACTGCAAAGTCTTCGTTTGAAGAAGCTTTTTTAGGTCTGCAGAAACTGTTGGCAGCTGTGAATGATATCCGTGAAGGAATTAGTAGGCAAGTATTTAAGCTAGTTATAAAAGCTAGTGATAGTAACAGTCACTTAAAGTCATAAAAGTTACTGAAATCTCTTGATGTCAAACTACAATTTATTATGTGTGCTTAGTTACATGATTTTCAGTAAAAATCTTGGTATCAAGGCTACCTAGAACCATTTCTTGGTAGCAAAAGAATAAGAAACTGTTGCAGACATTCAGATCTCTTGTAGTGAATTTTCTTTTTTATGGCTTGGAACTTGTTTTCCAGTATTTGATGACGAACCACTCACCTCTGCTCAGAGTGTAACCAGAGCTATGACATGAGTAACTAATACACTAGCTCTGATGGCAAGAACTTTGAATAATTTAGAACATTTGTTTTTCATATGTGAGGCCCATTGGAATTGGGGCAAATTTCCGATTTAGCGAAGGACATAAAGTTTTGGGACTTCACTGTTACCAATTCTAGAGTATTCTTCATGAGTCAAAACCTATACTGCAGCAGTAACAGTGACAATCAATAAGCTGGACTCTCAGTTTAGGAAGGATAATATTCCCTCTGTCTTCCTTCTTTTTTAAAGAGTGCAGAATAATAGAAACGAAGCTTTGGAAAGACTAAGGTATCTCATGTGTAGTCTTAGCTTAGTCCTTTTTTTATAGCAATGAAGTTTATTCATTGGCAGGACCAGATACAGAAGAATGCTTTACATTGTCACTCTTACAATTGTGGAGTTCCTCAGTTTCCCATTGACTTCAAAGAGTGTTTGTAGGAACTGGTTTGTAATTGTGGTTGAAGTTCCAGTAATTGCCGTGAGCATCCTGAAGTGTTACAGGCTGTGAATCTGAATGGCTGGAGCTATTTGATTTGGGAAAACACCACCACTTCGGACACTGTTTTTGCATACTAATGATGGAAATAGGTTAGAAAACTGTGAAATAGATGTATCCAGACGATTGGGCTTGCCCTGTACATTAACAATCTGCCTTTTAAGTAAATGTTGAAGTATATTACATTTCTATTGTAGACTGCTACGGCTTTGTTAGAGATTATTTAATAAGTGTATTTTTAAAAAAATTTAAATTTAAATTTTAAATTTTTTAGAAGAAGTGTTCTTTCTATCATTCTACATAGTAGTGAGCTTTTAAACTTGCATTATCAGTACTTAGCGGTGTTCATTACAGTCTTTGCTGAAGGATCACAGTCCTTACGCTATAGTTACCACAACAGTCCTGCTAAGTATGGATGTATGGTTATCCCAGTTCTGAAGTGTGAGGTCTGACCTGTCAAGGCACTTCAGAAGTCTGGAGCAGGGATCTGGAGCTCTGTCGCCTGGGACTTGAGGTAGTTTTCATCTGTAACTGCTAGAGTATTTCTTTTTTTTCAATAAAAATTGTGATAAAATCATGCAAACATTTGCTTCACTTGTCACCACTCCCAAATAAGTTTTTGTTGCTTTCTTTTTTTCATTATGGTCAAAAGAATGTCTTTAATTAAAATGTTTCAGTAAAATATATATTCTGTAAGTCCCGAACAAGGTTCAAGGTACGCTCATGTGTGTTCACATGAGCGTAAAAGACCATCCCTGCCTCAGTAGTATTGCAGCCTAAGTTATAGGTCTGATTTTTTTCTGTACAGCACACTAATAGCGGGACAAATCCATTCAAAGAATTGATGTCTGTCTTTCAAAGATAAATGGTCTAAATATTATGAAAGTAGAAACAGAAAAATATGGGTAGAAATGTGAGCAAGAATAGCGTGGTGGTAATTGATTCGTTTTCATTGCTGATTGTTTGGTTTAGTACTCCCAATTGAGATTAGATTTTAGTAGTGGCAATTGTCAGTTTTTTCTCTAACGAAATTGTTTTAATAAAGCAGGTTACTGCTAAACTTGGTTCTTTTCATTCCGGTCCTAAAGTTCTTGCAAGAAATCCTGTGGTATCAGTTTATACATGCGGTGGATGAGATTTAATGGGAATATGGTGCTTCAAGGTCGTTATTTCTGTGTTACAGAGGTGTTTAATTAAAACTTTGTGTGGCTATAACAAAAGAAATCTTTTATTTCTTTTCGTGAAAGCTACTTATCTCCTGTATTTCCCGTTACGGGAGAGCTGTGTAAAAATAAAAAGGTCTAACATTATATCGGATAAATCTATTTTACAAAAGATGTACTTTCTTGATTAGAGCCATTAGAATGTCTGGAGCAAAGGTAAACAGAATTCTGTCATTTGACTTCATTTGAAATGGAGAGGCTATTTTCTGTTCCACGTGATTACCATGACACTCAATAATATTTATGAAATGGCTTTAAAAATTCCTTTCATACTTTTAAAATTTTCTTCTCTACCACTAAACTGAAATACATTATTTATGCATCCAGGATGATTCTCGGAGTGGAGTAATTTTCTTGCAAAGTTGCATTTCGAAATGCCTGCTCTGAGTTTGTTCTGCAGGTTTGCAGTAGGGGGCATCGTGGAGCAAGAAATTCAGAGAGACTGTAACATGTAATCTTCTGTTTTAGTCTTGAGTGTAGGTATTTAAGTTGGTTTGAGACTTCTGAGTAGGTTTTCCAAAGAGTCAGAAGCCATATTTGTGAGCCATTGTAGGTTTATATATATTATGGAGTATTAAAACAAAAAGTCTTGATTAGACTGAGTTTTAAAAAGCGAAAAGGAGGCTCGTTTTGCCTAGGGCGCTCAGCTTAAAACTGAACTTAGAATATATCAAGTGTTCTTGAGATGTACTCACTTTAAAAGTGAGCATGAAATACCTATTTTCCACCCTTGACAGCAGAGGGTGTTATATATGTTGATGTATATTACATTGACTAGCAATGAACAAAGATTATTAAACCCCTGAAATTTATACTTCGAATCAAATTGTAAAACCATGACATGTTTTTAAATAATTTTAGATTCAATAATATTTCTGACTGTTTTCAGTGATGGTTTACACTCGTATTTGTGTTGTGTATTATTTGGGTTGGGTATTATTTGGAACCAGTTAACTAGGGGACCTAATTTAAGGTCTCTTAAATTAAGTCTTTAAAATAAATTAAAATAATTATCTTCAAAAATTTTTAAACGTAATTTCTTGGTTTTTAAGTAGCTCTTTGAGGCAACAGCTCAGGGTTTTCAAGTTTGTGCCAAATCTTTCATCACTTGTAGAAATTCTTCCACTGATTCTGCTGGAAGACGTTTGGCCCTTCATCTTTGGAGAAAAGAGAGGTTTAAGTACTTATCACAGCTAATTAACTCTTACAGATCTTGTTCTAAGAAGTGCAAAATGCCTTGCAAGGTATCGCTGCTGGGGGGTATATATATTTGAGATATATTTGACTCTATACTTAAGTTACATCGTAACTTCTCTCCACTTTCTGTGTGCAGGATGTGTTTCTCTTTTAACCTGTTGAAATTAATGTGTGCACCAACACCAGCAGAAGATTGGAAGTGCTTGTAGGTTTTCATGATCAGTCATCTGAAACATATTCTGTGTCTTGTTGCTGTTGAATCTTCCCATTAACATACTGATTGGAATATTGGATACAGATAGCTTTCTTCCCCTTCCAAAGGCTTCAGCAGCAGTATTTAAATGTATCTGTAGGGGTTTACATTAGCCAGCGTTTTCCCTTGGCTGAATATAACTTCTGATTCAACGGTTTATATGCACTCCTAGGGAATTTTACATGTCTTCATGTTTCCTGCCCAAGTTGCTTTTAGATAAGAAAACCTTGTTAACAGAAAAGAAGAAAGAAGTTTAGTCTTTGGTGAATTGATATAGTTATTTCTAGTTTGATTGTTTTCATCTGTTCGCTAAGAGATAATTGTTTTATTCACATGCCAACTTTAAAATCACTCACAATTTACAGCATATACTCTTAGATCCAATACTTATAAATATTTCTACTAATATAGTGTCAGCTGTAAAAATATTTACCTGTTACTTACTGCAGTAAGGAACCTGAATTCTGCTTTTCTAATATATTATCTAAATGGAATTTCTCTCAAATTCCCAATGATTTTGTTTGTTTGGAAAGCACTGATTTAGACAAGGACTCCGTAAACTTTTGTAAATTAAAAATGTAATTTTTTGAGATCTTCTCAGTAGCGCAGCAAAGCGTTACTGTATGAGAACTGATCACTGAATTGAATGTTTTGGGATTAACTCCATGGAGCATTTTGACCACACATAGTCAGATTGGCACAGCTGAGAGCAGGATTACGGTTGGATGAGCCGTAAGGCATCTTGCGGAGAGGCGTTGTATGTGGAAATGTCCCTCCCGAGGGGTCAGCACTAACATGGAAACATCCCCTTGTTTCCTAAGAAAAAAAAACACTTTACATCAGTAATAGCATTTCAGTATTGTATCCTTTAGTTTAATTATCGTGTCTGATATAGTTGAAAATATGCAGTATCTGACAAAAGGTTTTCCCCTGGTTGTAGTGTTTCCTTTCCTACATGGATTCTTTGCCATCTCCTGTTACATTTGAACTTAACCTACAGCCTTCTCTGCTGCCAGGATCCAAATTTGTCCTTCACCCTTTTGCCTATTTTAATGAGCGCTGTAAGAAATTAAAAAGTTGCAAGACCTCTGCCTCTGTCAAATACAGCTGAAATTGGCCAGCGCTTAACAAGGTGCAGGGCGGAGGTGATGCTGTGGTAACTGCTTAAGCCTCGTGGCCTTTAAGCCAGTCTAAAAAGCAAAATAGTTTGAATAAGTTAGTGTTGTAGAAGCCATGGTCCTTTCTGACCTTGCGAAGCTGGGGAATAGGCATCTAGACAAAGTGGCCCTAGGATCTGACATCTGAAGTACTTCCACAATAGAAGAAAGCATGAGCTCGACTTTATTTTGGGAAAAATACCCTTAATTTCCCAATAGGTTGATGTTGAACAAAACTCTGGCATGTGTTGATCATTGTAACACCAGTTTGAGTCCCTCATTGCAGTGCAGTGTAATGAGGAATTGTTAATAAGCCACATTTGTTTTTCCATTTCTCATCTTTTTTGCTTCCCTGATCTTTTGACAGGTTAAACAAGGCTTTTAATGGGTTAAGTGGACTTTTATACAATTAAGTCTCATGCCTTTTTGATTAACCGCACAGATTTAATGAATTGGTTAATGCATTATGACAGTCTTATCAGTCTTATGCCACAGGCGATTACATAGAACTGTTAAAGAGGAGTGGCTCAGTGTGGCAAATACTGAGGTACAGAGGTTTGGCCAGATGTGAGAGTGATTACCACGTAGTCTCATACGACTTTTATCCATATGCTTTACTTGTCATTGCCCAGGATTTTAGTGTTTGTGAGCAGCTGGCAGGCTGGCCTGCTTTCACTGCCAGATTTTTTTGTGGGCTGTTTTTTTTTTTCCCTTCTATTTCGTAAGTTAATTTTCTGATCCTTTCCAGATAGGCTTAGCTTGTTTCCCGGGTCTTCTCTGTGCACAAGCAAGGAACCACATTGCGAGCTATTTCCTGTCCATTTCCATTTTTGATTATCGTATCTCACACTCTGTGCATGCGTTTGGCATCAGATGAGTGACAGGGCAGTAGGTAAAGAAACGTTCTGAGTGGTTTGGGAAGCCCTGTTGCTTATGAGATAGAAATCATTAAGCCTGGCTCGCTCCTTTCTCCCTTCTGCCCCAGGAACAGTATCTAACCTCCGTTTTGTAGCTGGTACCCATAGTCACTTTTTGTGTGTTTCTATGACATGCTCTTCTCTACTGCATGTACTAAATATTTTCAGAAAATTTGCGCAGAACCATACTATAGTTTTTAGCTTGATCAACAAATTGCGTTTTAGTGGCGATCCAACTTTCATGTCACCCATATCCTTGCCAACTTGCTCAGGGCATGATGTTTGGATTAATTAGAAGTTGAAGTACGTAATGTGGGGTCGTTTGTAGTTTGGTTTTGCATGGCTGTGCTGATAGGAAAGGCAAAGTGATTCAGTGGCTTTCCACCCTCTGCTTTTGAAATACATTTGATGTCATGTTGAGAGAGAAGAAAAAGCGGTGGTTAACTATTGCAGTGGTCACAATACTGAGATTCAGATTGCTCGTTAGAAGTGTTTTACTTCTAATGTTTGCTTCATGTATTATTAATTTAGAGGGTGTTCTCTAGACTTATTTTGTAGCTGAGGCAGACTTTTTTTCCTCTGAGAAACTTTGATGAAAACGAGATCAACTTGCTTTAATGAAGTAGCAGATGCAGAGTCGATGTGCATACAAACATGTCCGGATTTCCCAACGTACATCTTCTCTTAAAATTTCTATTTTCCGTAACACAGAATGGTGGCTACCGGAGATGAAAGGAACATAAAATGATTAAGCCCAGTAGACAGCAGCGGTGGTGTGAAATCATTGCCTTGCAGACAGGAATGCATTACAATTTTCTGCATAAAAATATATTCCAAGAGTGGAGCTTGTATTCGAGTTCCTATTTAGCTGAAAACAGCAATAAGCATGTTTTATGAATGCTGACCTGTTAAGAATTTGTGGGGGAAGTTACTGTGCAAACTCTTCTCTCACCAGCTTCTTTTCAGTACTCCGTGTGTAGCAATGGTTCTTCCTTGAAAACAAGAAGTGTCTTTTATTTGAAGATATTGCAAAGGCTTGAGCCAGATGTCAGACTTCTCATTTCATGTTATAAACCCAGAAGCAATTGTTGTCATAGTCCAAGAAAATGCCATAACATAAGTTACAGGATTTACCATTCAGTTACTTGTGTGCTTATTTACAAATTTTACTTTGTTTTTTTTCCAAAGAACCGGAATCACAGCCGGTTTGTGCATCCACCTGAGGTCTGGTAACTTACAGTGAGTGAAACCAATGTTAGCTAGTACGCTTTGGTCACCAGTCCAAAAATAAGTGTGTTTTCCAATTTGATGTCCTGACAAGAAATGAATACAAAGAGGGTGAGGGTTACCTTACTGAGTGCCTGAAGTGCATAGTTTGGGAAACACCAATGGAATAATTTTTAAGTCTGCAGCATCCTAACTGGTGTCAAGATTCAGATTCTCTAGTAATCGTTGGAAAGTGCTCCTTTCAGTGGGAAAAGATCAAATACAGTGTATGTGATGCTGGTGCTTTCATGGTGTTACATTCGCTAAGGGAAAGGAAATGTGGGTGGCATGTTGGCTGCTTTCATACAGTACAATTAAAGATCTGTGCAAAACCAGGGGTCTAAAAATGACCTTGGAATTAGAGTCTAATATTGCTTCGAAAATTACTCTCAAACTGGTTTTCTTTAAATGTAGCCTTGCTAAGAACGATGGAGTGAAACTTGAAGTTTCTAGCCACTTCTCTGCCCTGGGAAGTCAGATGAACAGAAATAGCCATGCGGAGATGCCGTATAGCCAAACAGAAAGGCAGCACCGTTTAATTCTGCCTTCCACTCTGCTCTCAGCCTCTTCCTTCACTTTTTCGTAGCTCGTACCTACATTTTTCTTCCACAAAATCCAGAAGCCCATAATTAATACAGGTCTTTCTCTCACCAGCTGCCCTTTCCCCCCCACCCTCCATCCTTCCGATAGAAAGCTTACCTGGTTGGGTTTCCCACCGGCAGCTCAGCTGTGGCAGGAGTCTTACTTATCCTACACCCTTCCATCTGTGTCCTTGGCACAGCAGGAAAAATGCAGTGATGAGCATACTGTATGGCAATATGTAATGGCCTTCAGGTGAAGTTATTAGTAATATCTTACCTTTGATGTTTGCTACGGTTTTACATTCCGTTTTATGAAAAGGAACATGCAAGCTTTCCTCCTTTTTGTATGAAATAGAAGGCAGAATGGTACAAAAATCATTAGCAATAGAAATCACACTTTCCCAGGCTCGGGTGTACTCATTTATTTATATTGCAGATGACTGATGCGATAGCTAAAGCTGATGCATTGTCCCTTGCAGACAGGGTTGCTGGCTGATGGCTACATGGGGCTGGTCGGTGGGAATCTTAGCTGCAATGCAGTCCACGCTGCCAAGATTCCCAGCGTTTCCAAGGATGTTTGCCAAATTGTCTCTGCCGGGGTTTTGCGCTGTCAAAGCTGATAGCTTTCTCACTGAGGTAGCAGTTGAAGGCGTCGAGGTATTTTTAGGAAAACTAGCCAATTGGTTCTCTTGCTGACTTTTAGTTGGCAGGTTAAGTGTTCTAGTTTAAGAAAAAAATTCTGGGTGCATCTTCTTACGAAGGGGGAAAGAATGTGTGACTAATTTTTGCAACAGTGATAATTCCTGTGTAAAATCATGATGAAAATAAGCAGCGGACTTACTAGTTACGATAAATCCTGTGGTGTGTCACAGTCTTCCAGCACTGTTTAACATACAGTGCCTTTTTTAACTGGGATTTTTAACTTATTCTGTTAGTTTTCTGGGGTTTTTTTCAATTCCTAATTAATTCATTTATAAAGGCTTACAGCTTGCAAGGGGAGGGAGGGGAGAATTTGGGTGCTTTCCCATGGGAAAGTAAACAGAGCTTCCCAAAAAGAAGACTTTTTAAAGTTTTTTTTTTTTCCAAATCCAGTCATTTTCTTAATCACTATTTACATACTTAAAACTTAATAAAGGCGGAATTTTATCAGTATTTCTTAATACATGTAAAGTGTTACATGGTTTTTAATGTAGATTTTAATGTACATTTTGTGATGTTTAAGACAGTTCTGGTTTTTTCCTAGTGGATGCAAATTAAGTTACACTGAGGTATAACTGAATTATAGCTGCTTAAATAGTTTAGGAGAATTAATTTTTGAGAGAATCACTTCCTTACTGGATCGTTTTTGGAGCCTTGTGGAAAAGGGTGTACGTATCTCAAGACTTCCTTACAGAGAGACCAAAGCTGATGCTTTCTTCTGCGGGTGGTATCTCCGCTTGTAACGTGGTGAACAAGGACTGGATTTTGGGAAAGACTGAAATGTTGCTGGCTGCTGTGTGCGTTCGTGGCTAAATAAAATACCAGTATTTCACATGATACTGGCTTCTTCATAAAGACACCTCTCTGCAGCTGTCAAACCCAATTTTCACTTGTCAGTATTGGGTGGGAATTGGTTGTTACTATTAGAAGTAGCAAAAATGGTACATAAATTGCAGCATTTGAGCTGTACATTAGGATGCTGGAGGGAATGAGTTAAAGTTTTAGCTAGTGTGGGAAAGTTTTGTATTGCATGTCACTTTTCTGTTGCTCCATATTAATACAGCAGGCTTTGCTTATGTGAAACAAAAGGCTTTTAATTATTGCTGGTTTTCTTCCCGTCTATATAGAGAAATTGCTCATGGAAACATCAGTTGAATTTTTAATTGGGAAAAACCTTCATAGAAAGTCCTTACAGAAATAATAAGCTCATTTAATTCTTTTAGGGGGAGCGGAAAGGGATGGGTGGAAGGGAAAATTCTTCAAAGATCAGAATTTTCTTTTTGTTTAAAGAAAGTAATTAGATTTTTTTTTTTTCATGAAGCACTTCTGACTATTTCTGTAACTCTTCCATAGAATCCTTTTATACTTGATTAAAAAAATCCCCAAACTTTTCTTTTTCAGAATTTTGACCCCAACCAGTAGTTTCCAAGATATTTGGACCCTCTATAACTTCCTCATAAGCAACGAGGTATGAAGCTTTCTTTAACATTTTGTCAGATACACTTATGTTACAGTTTTTTATTTAAAGTAGTTACGAGGTTAGCTGTCTCATCACTGTGTTTCCACTAAGCTAGAATTTTGAAGATCTGCTGTTATTTATTAGGCGTTGGACATAAAAATATATTTTCAATTGGTACCTACCAAAAGTTATTTGAATCTCTACCGGTATTGGAGTTGTTTGGGTGCCTTTCTGAGCAGTCACTTGTTGTGAATGACTCGCTGTAGAGAGTAGAAAGTCTTGAAGTCACCAAAACATCCCTGACCTAGTTGTTTTAAGAAGAGAGTACGTTGCACTAGGTAGTTCTGCTGAAGTCACCAAAATATCCCTGACCTAGTTGTTTTAGGAAGAGAGTACGTTGCACTAGGTAGTTCTGTGGAGAATATTGGCTGCAGTTCAGAGGAGAAAAAATAAATTGAAATTATGAGTTATTCATAAAGTTTTAACTCATTTGTGCTATAAGATTTTAAGAAGAGAAATTGAAATGAATGTTTGCAGTAGAATAGAGGTATTTTTCCATTTAGTATATTATATATTTCAGATTTGCAGTCCTCTCCTATGCAGGAAAATATATTTGGGTTTTGGGCCTGTATGTATGGGGTGACTGTATTTATGGAATTAACGTGAGTCAGAACTTACTCCGTTTGCTATAGAACTGTAGGGTAAATTAAGAGGGGAGGAAGAATTATTTAAGGTTGTTTAGATTTCTGCAGAAATTGTTAGAAAAGGGAGCTGGAGTGATATCTATCACTCCCATTATATACAATCATGATTGTTAATTTGTAATATTTGATTTTATAATACATAGCATGACTTTTTTATGTACTGTCTCAACTTGGGAGGTAATACATTAACTGTATCTGTTATACCAGCTGTATAATTTCAATCGGTATGTGATACATGGTAAATTACTATGTTAATTCTTTGTTCATTGTTTTAGATAAACAACAGTATAAAATTCACTGCTGAGGAGCTTTATGAGTGTGTTTCACAAGAGATATATCGGTAAGCCACTTACTGATCACATCAGATGGGTTTTGAGACAACATTTTAGCATGTACTGTATTAACCAAAGTACTATAACAGAAATCGTGTGGATAAATAAAAAATCACCATTGTCGGAGGGGCATAGGGAAGCTGAGTGGGGATGTTTTCTCTTTTCCCCCCTCTTTTTTTTTTTTTAATGATCTATTATTACAACAGAGTAGGAGAGGACAGAAATTAAATTAGAGATGAGCTATTAACATCTACACAGTGATTTTCAGCTGTTTGACTTTGAGGTGAGATGTTTGTCCCTCTTTTCCTCTGCCAGTTTTGAATTAATGATCTATTATTACAACAGAGTAGGAGAGGACAGAAATTAAATTAGAGATGAGCTATTAACATCTACACAGTGATTTTCAGCTGTTTGACTTTGAGGTGAGATGTTTGTCCCTCTTTTCCTCTGCCAGTTTTGAATTCATGGCTCAGTGGCAGACAGAGCCAGTATAGGTCAGCATTCATTGTAAGGTAGGTTACAGCATGAGACTGCATTTAAATGAATTTGATTATAACTGAAATTCTGTTTTGGTGAGGTATTTCTTGTAACAGAACTTGATTATTATGAGAGCTTTGCTTAAATCAGCAGAGGGAAAAACCCTGCGATTCTGGAGGCGATTCAAGTGATTGAACTGTACCATGAAAACTGGGCATATCTGCAGTTGCTGTGCTACGTTGTGGCCATCGTTATTAAAGTCATAAATTAAGCCATTGTATGTTACTAAGCCATTTGTAAGTACAGTTAGACAAAAAGGAGAAACAGACATAAGATTCCACGTACTTGTTTCCATTTTAGGAGGCTTTTTTACAGTTCAGTCACAGGAAAATAAAGGTTCTGTTGTACAGCTGAGTTAAAGGCCTTGAAAACATTAATCTAAAAACGAGTGTCACGCAAGCCTTACAGTTCTTTACTGTAAAGTTTCTGGCTCCTAAAAGGTTTCTTTCTGAATTTGTGTAATTGAGGGCTTGTAAATCCAAGTTCTGTAAGGTTTTTAAAATGCCATAGTGGTTTTTTAATAGATCTTAAGTGGATAATAAAAGACAGGTAAACATTTTCTTTGATGTTCCTGTTATATGTATATGCATTAGCTGTAACTTGCCAGGATATGAAGCATGGTTCCATCAGCTGCATAAAAGGCTTGCAGATTATTTTAATGTGAGTAAGCAGATTATTCTAAAAAGCTTTCCTTTGCCTGGATTGACACACATTTCCCAAATCTTCTGTGAATTTTAAAGGCCAAATTGCTAGGTTAGGGGAGAAGAGGTATGCAGGGAGGGAGAGATTCTAATCTATGTATCAGTAGAGAAAAGTGATTTAGAAGTTTAACTGGCTTGAGTTGGTGACCAGCACTTCTGTAGTTCTCACATTTTCAAACGTTTGTGGGCATGTCCATCATTGTCTCTATAAAATCTACAGCGTACATACAGCCTTTGCTATTGTGCTAAGGCTAGCAAGGGAACTGCAGTTTCTTGATGTTTGCAAGATGTCCCTAGGTCCACATTTTATCAGAAAGCCTGAAAACGTGGACCATTGTCGTGAATTCTGTGTGCCACAGTAGATTTCATGGCCAAAACAAACGTTCTCACCAGAACTTTCGTTTTCTGGATGAGTGGTACAGGGTAAGGGTGACATTTTTGTTACATGTAAGTTATGTCCTTTGAAAACATATAAAGCAAACGAAGCAAAGATTAAGATCTGTTGCTATAAATTCAATCCACAGATTTTCAAAGTACTTCTTATGTCTAATTGTTGTTCTCAGTTATTTCAGCAATGAAGCTATTTGGTATTACAGAAGTGAAATAAAATATGACTCCACCCAATAAAGCAGAGATGCTAAATGACGTTTTAAAAGCACTCAATTAAAAAGAGATGTTCCAAGAGCAGAGGCATACGTAGGAAAGGAGACTGCTTTAAGGCAGGCTGAATTACTTGGGCTTTGGCAGAAACATGCTGAACAAAGTGTTGCCCCTTGCTTCAATCACTAGCGAACGTTTTTACTTTAACCTAGCTTCTGAATTCTTTGGGAGATACGTTCCTGCCTAGAATATTTGTACTCTCTCTGTTCCTTTTTCAGGATGCACCAAAGATGCTCTTGTCTTGAAATTTTGATCCAAAGGGTTTCTCCTTATCTGGAGAGGGAAAAGGACTACTTGAAGCTAAATATTCAAAGCTACATGCACAATTCTCACTGCTTTCGTATCTCTAAGTGGTGCTGTAGGCTTCGCTATCACAGTAGCATTGAGAAGATGCCAGCCAAGGACTAGGGTCCAGATCTTTAGGATATATATGGAACAAAAAGACTGACCCTGCCCCAGAGATCCGCTGTAACAATTCTTTGCATCTTCAACAAATTCACAAAATAAGTTTTTCCATCAGAAACTCTTACATGACTTCTTTTTTTTTTCCCTGAACTTGCCTGCTAGTCACCTGGTAGATTCCAGTCTTCCTCTCGTAGATCTGAGTAGTGTTGACCTAAGACCTCCCCCTTTTTGGTGGGGTCCCCCCAGCATTGCTTCCATATGTCCCCTGTCCTTACATAGGTAGAGACTGACGTGGTGAGAGCAAAACCCTGTAACAAGACAAAATCTGTCCCTTGTATGCGTCAGGTCTGTCACAGTTAACATTGCTGCTGGGGGTCGAGGCAGTAGCCTGCGAGGAGGAGACGGGACTGTACAAAGGCAGCAGAGGGCAGGCCTGGCCCCTAATGTCTTCCTCGGTACCGATTCTTCAGGCCCGATAAAGCAGGTTTATGAAAATCCTAGCCTGGGGAATCTTTCTGAATTGGAATGAAGTTTTTTCCCTTCTGAATAGTGGGAACATGCCACAGTCCCGAGCTGCTTCAGCAGAAGAATTAGGTAGATTAAGGGAGGTTTAGTTAAAGCCCTCGTTTCTTCCTCCCTCCCTTCCCATTCACGTGTGCACTGTGGGCAGCAGAGCTGCTGGATTGCAAGAAGAGTTTCAGAGAGGTCACTAGCTTTTATGGCCAGCAGCTAATGTGAAGACTTGAAGTTACCCGTTTAGTACTATCCAAGGCTTTTGAGTTTTCACTGTTGACCAGTGAACAGTTTGTATCATTTAATAAATGACAATTGGATGGAAAGGCTAAGTGATAGAACAAATCATTTGGCTTTGTTTTGCAAGCCGCTGATCTTGTCTGAACTAAGAAAATACATTGTTTGGAGGCCCGGGCGTCCAAGTAGATCTCTTGAAAGTGATGCGTGACTTTTCTACTGCTCTTCTTGCTCTTCCACCTGGTTGCATCTACCTTAGAGTAAACTAGCAAAGGAGGTGGAGGTGACTGCGTTAGGCAGGGGTTGGGAAGACGCCGACGCCTCGGGTCTGGAATGGGCACCGACACGGCGATACCAGCGCGCTCGACCCCTCCGGCCAGGGAGAGCACGCTGCGCCTGCCCTCGTCCTACCGACCATGGGGCCAGATCGCGTGGGTCCTGTGGTCAGAGCCGCCGTTTGTTGTCCTGATACATAGTCTTGGGTCGTAGTCTTGACACTGTTCTTGGGTCTAAAACTCTGCATGCAGTATCATACTAGTTACTTGACTGATAGCCCGCGTAAGCACGCTGTGTGCTTACTGCTGGCTGCCCAGTAGTGCCGCACTCTCCCGTGTTGAAACCGAGTCGAGGTGCAGTTCGTAGCTGATTAACGGAGCTCGTTCATCAGGAGGATCAGTGTTCTTTCGTCAGAGTAACTGTGCCAGTGCTATAGATTATTGCCAGAGAAATGCAACCTATAGCATTTGGACTGCTTTTTCTGACAGAATTCATCTCCTGCTCTGTCGGGCTGATCTGCCAAGCTTATGTTACTTGTGAGAGCAAAAAATACTGGGAGGGTATGGTGTGTATCCTTTTAAAAGCATCTCTTAGTTTGAATCGTTTTTTTTTAAAAAAAAAAAAAAAAAACAAAAAAAACACCCAAACTAACAAATCTAGCTGTTGGATATAGATCTGCATCGATACAGGCATAAAGAAAATAATGTGTGTAAATTTGTACTCAGCATAGTAACAGAAAAATCATTTCAGAGGCTGGTCTGGTAGCCCTCAGGCTGCAGTTGTGTGACTTAACCTTGCTTTTTTCCCTCTTTTTTTGAGAAGTACCTTTTAAACGGCCTTTTGAGAAAGGATCTTTTGGAAAACCAAAGTTACAGAATGTTTTCTGTGTAATCAGGTTTAGATTCCTCTTCTGAAACAAAAGTCTAAATACTAAATCGGTGTAGTCAAGAGATGTATTTTGTGTGTAAATACATTATGTGTAAGTATATGAAAGACGGTTTGAATTGAACCTTCCAAGATCCACATTCTGTCAAGAAAGCTGTAATAAGCGACCTTTCAACGCTGATTATTTTTTAAAACTACCTTTACATAATACAATGAAAAGCAAAAAGTAAAAAAGGAGCTCTGCCTTTTTGCTGAGTTACGGTTTGGCTGTTCTACGGTATTTGTATAAAATCATTGATTTTAGCAGCTTTAGAGCAAAAGTCACTGCTACTTCTTGGGTCTTATGGAAATTGCCTTTTTGATTATACACATCACAACTGCATAGTTTGTCTTCTGCCATATCCCTTTTTAGTTAAAAATTGTATTAAATTGTATTTTGAGTCGGGACAACTGGTTTCAAGCTTTGTAGCCACTTTCCTAGTAGGAAAGCAACAAATAATTCCTAGCAGCTGCTCCTCCTCGGGGGCTGCGTTTGGTTGCAAATACCAGAGGAGAGCCCGCAGAAACCACCCGGCGGGTAACGCGGGGAGCAGTTGCTGTTTCAGCAGTGCCGCGCGTGCCGGGGGGCTGTTGCGGGGTGTGAGAGGCAGGAGGGATGCTCAGCACAGGGCAGAGCGCGTGCTGCTTTTCTCCAGGGGAGCGAAGGGGAATTTTTGCATCATGCTTGTACAAGCAAGAACAAAAAAATCTGTGCTAATTGTTTAAAATAACAATTTTTACGTAGGCATGAGGTCGTTTTTTTAAACTCTTAGACTTCAGCTGCCTTATCTGTGATTGATTTTTTTTTTCCTCCCTAAGTGCAATAGCAAATGTTTGCATAATACTCTAGCTTAAGTATAGAAATGAGGATTTCTTTTTTTTCTTGCTGTTTACCATTTAACCAATTTTACCATCTAATTCCAAGTTCAAATAAAAAAGCAGGAGCAGGTATTTTGGCAATTTTACCGCTGGAAAAAAGGCAAACTGCGCAGGGAAGACTGGTCAAACCGTGTGAGCAAATAAAAATAAAGCTGCAGATCAAAGTGAGATTTCCCAGAAGCCTAAAATCAATCTCTGACCGTATTGTAACTGTGGATAGAACTTGTTTCTGTCTGCAACATATAAACCTATAGGAAATATATAGTTGACTTGCAGCTTAAACACATTCAGTAAAAAACAGTAACGTTTTATATTATTGAAGGTTCGGTTTTGGGTTGAGAAGACTGAACTAACGCTTGCTGTGTGGCTCTTGGATTGTTCCTTATTAAAGGTGTCGTTGCAGGATACAGCTGGGAACACGTAGTGATTAGCCAGCTCTGTAATAAACTTGATCTTTTTCTATAAAGATATAAATATGTCTGGATTTCCAGAGGTACTGAGTGTTCTCCACTTTTGACAGAGTTAAAGCGTGGTATTAGAATCCCTTTGAATTTTGTTTTAAGGGAATATATGGAAAGATTCCCATCTGTAAAATGGGTCCATTGTATCCCGGTAACCTTTGTATCGTCTCTTCCCTAGGGAGAGGTTAGAAGTCGGGTGTTGCCAGCTGGCGCAGCTGGAGCACACCGTTAAGCAGTGTCACGCGTCGGTTCACACGGAAGCCAAGAACAGGGGCTGGCTGTGACACCTGGGTCAAGTCTGGAGCTGCGGCACTCACCCCCCGCGTTTTCCTGGTCGAAGTCTTAACAACTCCTCTGGTGTGCGTGAGGGAAATACTCAAGGAAGCGAAAATCTGCCGCCTTTGTTCTCAATGGCGCTGGTTTGTATTTGAGTTGAAAGAAAAAACCAACTAGTTACATACGTACATTAAATGTCAGAATTTCTGCTAAGAGTCACAAGCTAGCGGAATTTTCTGTCTCAAGTGCGGGGCTCTGGGTTGGTGCAGCTGGTCTGGCGTGCAGGAGGTGTGCTGGGCTGCCGCTCTGAGTTCCAAACGTCCGTGGTAGGAGCTGGCGCCCTTGATGGTTGCATAAGGAAAAGCCACGCAAGGCTTTTGTTTTGCTGATACTTGGGAAGTGACAAGCGAGAAAGAAGAATGTGTCGTGGTACCTGTGGGCCTGAAAGGACTGAAAAGAAAGCAGCTGCACACGAAGCCAGATACCTGTGATGCTTGCTACTCCTACGGATATGACAGACTAAAACGCAGATGCCATGTATGTATCCTACGTAGTGAACTATTTAAGGCCTAAGAGAGGATATAGAATGGGGAAAGAAATGGATTGATGCTCTTTTTTTTTTAAAAACGAAACAAAAAACCCACTCTCATGCTGGACCTCTTTCCAGAGGGAAGGGATGTTTTTTCTTTTATTAAAGTTATCATCTACTTAATCTTCATAGAGCGGAAACCTGCTAGCAACACTCTTGGGAAACGCCTCATCCCCCCTTTTGCCACCCTCTCCTGCGAAGGCAGGAGCGGCTTTTCCCTCTGGGGGTTGTGCTCCGTGACTCGTCTCTGCCCGCCAGGCGACCGCGCTCTTTGAATGTACTGTTTGTCACGTTCCAACACTGCTTTAGGTCAACAAAACTTTCCAGAAGCCATTTTCAATGCTGCTGTGGCCTTGGAAGCTACCTCTTCTACGTATGCATTTGTACAGAGGCGAGATGACTGGCAACGTTCTAGAAGTGTTTATTTTGGTATTAACTTTTGGATGTATTTGTACAATCTTTGTTGTAAAAATAATTTATTGTTACAGTAAATGGCAGTTAATTCTACGTGGCTGTTTCTTTGAATAGCTCCACTTTCACTTTGCCCAATTACTGCGGATGCAAGTTCAATGCAGTTCTTGCCTGAGAGTCAGAGACAAGTGGTTTGGCAGAGTTACTGTGGGAGCAAAATTCATTTTAAGGGGTATTTCCACTCAGGTGGTTGTCCCACGACTGTGGGGTAAGTATGTTATGCTCCAGTAAGGTTACGTTGGCAATTCATACCATATAGCTAGGAAGCGAGATCAACTTAAGCCACGTCTGTCTGCCTTGGGTTGCATCTGCTTCTGATAGGCTTTGTGGGAAGACAGCTACTGCACGCTGTCTCATACCGACTCGCCCTGTCCCAGCGCACCCAGCTGCACAGCCTGGAACAACCGGTACTTTGCTCTGCTGTTTTCCTGCCCCGGTATGTAGGCGCAGTGGTCTGCTCACACCCCACTCCGGGAGGACTACCCCCTGTGGTGTGGTGTGAAAGAAGCTGTGGCAGAGGTCTGGCACTAGTGCTGGGATCAGGCAGCTGTAGTTCGTTAAAACCTGAATCAAAGCAGTAGACTAAGACTGGGCTGGTGACTGAAGCGAGTGCCATCACTGGTGGCTTAATTTCCTAAAGCCACTTGATTCATGCTGAGGAACACAGCTGAAGGAGCAGGTCAAGTCTCTTGCAAGAGTTTCTACTCAGCCCAAAGTGGAGCAGGGGCAGTTAAATAGCCTACTTTGTCTTAAACCTGCATACATTTGAAATGTCTGTTTTAATGTCGTAAACTGTCTGGTTAAAGAAAAGGACACAAAGACACATCACAGCGATCCTGTGGTGCAAGGATTTCCCAGAAGGTACCTTTAATGTGTTTGCATCAGCAGCAAGCAGTCCGTGCTAGCTTTGGCACCCGGAGTTAGATGTGCAGCACTACACGTTAGACACCAAGTCATCCTAACTGACATTTTATCCGTATGAATAGAGAAAGTGAACTAAAACATAGTACTATGAGCACATATGAACTCAAGTTATTTGTGTTCTATCACACTTTCAGCTTGCAATATTAGAAAAATAAACTTAAGACAGTTACTAATCAGACGAATACATTTTCATTGCCAACTGGCAAGAGTTTAAAAACCCCACATGGAAGTTTTTGTTTTACAAATGCTAGCTCACCCATAGTAACAAAGCTGCTGTACAGAAAGCACCCTCTGAATTTCTGTCAAAATATTTGGAGCCAAAATAATTTTCCTGTCCTAGAAAGTCACAGCTATGTTATGTTCAGAAACTCCATTCAGCCCTACCGAGCGTGTTGCGTACTAAGTTACAGTATTGTAGCAGAGGCCAAAGCTCAGAAGCTCACGTACAGTGGTACATCAGTTCTCCCACTCAAGTCTCTATGAACTCCAAGGTTGTCTCTTTGCTTCAATAACCATTTCTCTGCCATTTTCACGTCAACAGATAAAATACTCTGCTGAGTATATAAAAACTGTTATAAAAAGGCAGTCATAAAAGATAAGGTATTGGCAGGCATGTCAGCTTTTTTTAATAAAAAAAATAGCCATTATATCTATTTAAATAAGGCTTCTTGTTACAGATTGTTCCAGTTACTGAAGGAAAACAAGGCCTGATAAAAAAAAAAAAAAAAGATCCCCCCTAAACCTTACACTTCCTGCCCCAAGAACACATCCTACAGGAAAAGTCATTTACTGTGCAAAGTGACAAAACAAACACTGGGGGAAGCTCCTGAAGTGATATGCCCAGTCCAGTTTCTCTTGCATTATCTTCAAAATCTTAAAAAAACCAACCCTAAAACAAGTTCTAAAGATACACAAAAAACCCTTCATCTTGATATTCTTTCCAAAACAAATATGTACAGCACATTAATATGCAATATGCAAAAGCTCTGTGTTGCTGTTGGCAACATCTATGCCCTCCCCAACCCTATTGACATGTGTACCTCTACTAAAACACAATTACATCACTAAGCCTGTTAGTTTGAAAAGGGAATTTAATTCACTTAAAACTTGTAAATTTTTGTGTAGGGGCTCCATTCGTTTGACTCTGGATTGTAGACTTCAACCGTGTTCAAGAATTCATTGCCATCAAATCCCCCAACTGCATAAATAGTGTTTGCCACCGTCGTAATGCCGGCGTTGCTCCTCGCAGTAGTCATACTGCCCATCATCTTCCACTCGTTCTTGGCAGGGTCGTACATCTCCACGCAGCTCACCGCGTGAGAGCCATCAAAGCCGCCACCAACAAAGAGTTTTCCTATCAAAAGGAAACAAAGCGAATGCTTCACTGCTAAGCACCAGCTGTGTCGCCAAACACAGCCTCCTTCCCGGGGAGACAAACTAAGCCAGAACGAGGGAACTTCAGGTTTTCTGCCAGAAACCTTTGCCTTAGTCAAGGTTTGAAGTTACAGAATTGACCTGCTTTGGGTCTCTTGATCATTAGAGCCGACTGGAAATTATTTCAGAGTAAGCACAAAGTCCAAATTCAAACAAATGCAGCGCTGGAAGCTGCATGGTGAGGTTTTGAAAAGAAAGAGGTGGGGACGAATGTCCCAAAACAAAAATGAGGTTTTTTGGGTTGCTGGTTACAGTTTTTAATTAAAATCGGAGGCACAGAGCCAGGTTCTTACTGTACTGTTTCCTCCCTGAAAAGGAACACAGCTTTGTATTCTACTTGCATCACAGCTTAGCATGAGAATTCATCAAGCACGAGAGGTTGCTTAAGCCCACGGAAGCCTACCGTCATGAACAGCCACTCCCGCTCCTCGTCGAGCCACGTTCATGGGCGCAATCAGGGTCCAAGTGTTGTTCTCTGGATTGTAGCGCTCCACGCTATTCAGGCAGTTCCACGATTCTGCTCCTCCAATTATGTATAAATAGCCACCCAGCTCACACACTGCAGACTGATGTCTCCCTACAATCAAACCCCAGGAGTTACAGCCCAGCACAGAAGTCACACACCAGCAATACACCATAGCAGCTGAAGTCTAAACAGGTTTTTTGTTCAGTTTTAAACCTGCAGTTTTGCCATCGCCCTTTTCCCCCCTCCCTCCCAAACTACACGGCAAACTTACGGATGTTAAGGGGAGCACAACTTGTCCAAGATTTTGTTACAGGATCAAACACATCACAGTTCTTAAGTCCCTTTTGGCCATAAGGATCTGAACCACCAACAATGTACAGTTTTCCATTCAGGGCACATACTCCTATTCATATAGGAAAGTATAATAAGTAAGCTAATAAATGAATAAATTTAAAAAAAAAAAACAACAGTCGATCCACTGCAGATGTGTTACCTGCATTGCAGCGATTGGTTCTCAGCTCCGGAACAGGAGTCCAGTCATCTATTTCTGGCTCATACATTTCTCCACAGCTCAAGTCATCTGAGTGACCGTTTGACCCACCCACAACATAGAGCTGCCCCTAAATGGAAAAAACACATACCTTCTTCACGTCTAAGCACACAACAATTCAAATCACTCGCACTGTGGTAACGGTGTAACTACAGTTAAGCAGCTTCTGTTACCAATTTGTAGAGGTTGCCATGTTTGTCCCCCCTACATTTACACAATGTCACTTTTCGTCTGATCTCCACCCACCACACACCATTAAAACTGCCATCTGGAATCGAGCTCTCGGTGTTCTCATCGGTGCAATGAAAGTCCAAGTGTCCTTTTGCGGATCGTAGCATTCCACTGTGCGCAAACACTCCTCTCTGTTATATCCACCTGAAAGCAAAAGGTCAGGTGAGATCACTTTTCCAAAGACCAACTGCTTTCATGCTGACGAAGGCTGACTCTTAACGGAGCGTACAGAGTTAAGAAGCCACTGTTGTTACCCTTTCCCTTACCTGCAGCAATTAACTTGCCATTAAGTTCAGCTGTGCCCAGCCCAGAGCGAGCGTACTGCATTGGAGACATGGGCTTC